ACCAGTCCTCGCACTTAATGACTGTTGCAGCATCCCCACGGTCACATGATCAAAATTCAGGAGCTTGGCAACCAGCATGTATTTACAATGGCTGCAGCGTCCTGGGATCACGCGATCGCCATTTGCAACCTTCCCAAGAGGGCTTCCAACAAGCAAAGTCAATGGGGGAAATTGGATTCACTTAATGACTGCATGATTCGCTTAACAACTGTGGCAAAAAGGTTGCAAAATCAGGCATGACTCACTTAATGACCACATCACTTAGTGATGGAAATTCTGGTCCCAATTGTGGTTGTATGTCAAGGACTACCTGTACTGCCATTAAAACACCCTGCAGATTGGTGCCTTGCAGAATTTCCTGTCTGAAGCTGACAGGACAAAACTAGCTGAGACTGCAATAGACCTGCACAGTGATTGAACCAATGGGCTAAGAAATGGGTAATTATGTCTTCAAGGGAATCTTATTCCTAATATTATAAAAAAGTCTATTTTTTATGATAAAAATAGGCAAGATCTGGAAGATGTGAATGGAAATAATTTCTTTAATTTACTTGCTGTGAGCTGGCAGATTATCTAGGGGCAAATGTAAAGGGTGATAAGTTTCTTTGTTTCTAGGATCAGGATCTAGCATGCCTCAATATAGTGAATTGTGCAATGGAGTTTTTGCATGATGCTCTAGTATCTGACTTAAGAGTAAAAAGAATTTCTCCTTTGAAAGGTAGATCCTCAATCCTAGTCTGAGTTTCTGGGGGAAAATCCAATAAGCACAACCATGCACGGTGCTGCAAAAGCAACAGATGCTGCTATAATTTTTAATTCTAATCTGTGACATGTCTAGATGTGGTCATTTGTTGTGTGGCCCACTGAGAAGCCCATGTATAGAAAACTTCATTAGTTTCTTTCTTTTCTAAAAGTTATGCATAAAGACCACAGCTGGCATCTTGCCAAAATCCCCTGATAATTTGCCATTCAGAAGAGGAAGGCTCTCATCAACTAATTCTTTAGTTCAAGTCCCTCTCATTTCCTACTCTCTTCATTACAGCAGAAGAACATTGAGTCTGCTGGTTTGGGACTGCTTCAGATATAATTCAGTGTGAGTCTCATTGTTTAAGGAGGAAGGTGTTACAGGTAGTCCTTGCTTAATGACAGTTCATTTAATGATAGTTTGAAATTAAGACAGCCTTGGAAAAGGTACTTTATAGCCTGTAAAGCACTTCCGGCTGTCGTAAAATGTCACACACACACCCTGCAGTCACGTGTCCGCATTTTGAGTGCCTCGTAAACCGCTTGCACTTACAACCCTGTGATCACGTGACTGCCATTTGTAATCTTCTCTGCTGGCTTCCCCATTGGAAGCCAGCAGGGAAGATTGCAAGTGGAGGGGACACGGTGGCGGGCAGTTATAGAGCTCAAATCTTTGGGATTTGAGGTTCCTGCCTTCATACCACTGTAAGGCTTCCCTTCCCCCTTCAGCGGTGCAAAGTTGTGGACCTCAAATCTTTGGGATTTGAGATCCCTGCCTTCACACCGCTGTGAGGTTTCCCCTCCCCTTTCACTGCTGGGTAGTTATGGAGCTCAAATCTTCAGATGCTCCATTCACTGCTGAGAGAGGGGAGAGGAAAGAGGATGGAGAGAAAGAGTTTGTCTGCTGAAGGATTTCAGCTCCACGGGGAACTGAAATCCATCAGCAGACAGCTCTTTCACTCCATCCGCTTAATGACCTGCGAGACTGCTTAACAATTGCAACTGGGAGTGTCCAGATTGCAGTCATTTAGTGAAGTAGTCACATGGGCATCTCGTTTAACAACTGCTTCGCTCAATGACTGAGATTCTGGTGCCAATTATGGTCATTAGGCAAGGACCACCTGTATCTTCCTCTCAAACCAATAAAGTTTCTTAAACTGCTTGACATAAGAGGAAGGCTTATTGAAGGCTTAATTGGCAAGTGTTGGGCAGTAGGGCCAGTGCCATGGATATTACTGCAGGAAGTGTGGGATGCAACCGCACAATATCAAATATGGGAAGGCAAAATATCTGGGTTCCAACCAAAATACTCAGCTGGGTTTCTTCTTTCAGAAGTTCTGCTCAGGTGCAGATTCCAAACAATGGAAATCACAGCCACCATAATGAAGAAACAAAGGATTCTGTACAATTGAGAACAATCTTCTGTTTGTGCAAGGGAAAATATGATTTTAGCAATTCCTTTCTCCTGCTCTAACAGAACCAATATGTTCTTGAGGGTCCCCAACCCTCAAGAGACCTGCAGAGGAACAGCCAGGCCAGAATACCCATGGGATAGAAATTGGGATATAAGACCAAAACTCAATCTCTTATTGTTAGATGTATCATTCTTTTACTTCTTTTTGGAAGAGCACATGTAGATTAAGAAGATTAAGAAAAATCAGATAGGTCCAATAGTTGCATGTGTGTCTTCCTCAAAAAGCACATCTAACTTTAATTCAAATGATATTATTCCACTTCTGGATATCCAATCCAGCACTAACCATCAGTTTCTAAGTAGTCTCATACCCACTAGCACTTTATGTAAATTATCTTCAGATTATGAAAGTAATCCAGCAGTAGCATTAGAAAAGGAAACAAAAGGAGCTGACTCCCCTGAAAATTCAAACATCCTAAAACTCAAAATCCCTTCAACCAAAAAACTTTGATAGATAAGAGCCTAGCAACCATCTCTACAAATGCAACGGGTATCCAATGTTGCTTAATTCAGAGTTTGGTGTTTCAGAGTTCTGCACTAAGTCAGCTACACCACAAACAAAAAGAGGATACTTTTTCTCAGAGCTCTGTTTTTTAATGGCAAGGATAAAGTAATAAACAGCTTCTAATCACGATCACAGTGCTTAGGGATGGAAATACACCAAATCTTATACTTTGCTTGCAAATGTCATATAATCTTGTCAAAGTTACAGGTATTTTTTCTTAAAACACAATAAAACAATTTTAAAAAGCCTAGCTTCAAGATTCCTGGACTAGTAATTTTTATAATTTAATAGACTTCTTGCCTCATAGCATCTGTACCATGCTTCAGGTTTCCATAGATGTTGCTAACTAAGCAATAAGGGAAAATGAGTGAACCTTTTTTCCTCTTCCCAAAGAGGAAGAGGATACAAGAGCATGGATTGCTCCCCCACTGATCAGTGTAAACCCTCAAAATAAAGGATCATCTGGATCAATTAATCCAAACAAGAGATGAAAATAAATAAAAAGATGGGCTATTTCTAGAGATATATGCACTACGATGTACTCCTATTATCCTGATTTTATAGCAGCTGATGGTTCTTGGGCCTAGAATATAGTTTATTTTTTCCTGTTAGTTACACTGAATGTAAAAAAATAAGAAAGGTAGTTCCTGAAAATTGGTACAACCAAGCCAAAACTTCTTTTTTTACCATTTTGCAGTGAAATGGGAAGTACTTAAAATGTTAACTTTTTTTTTCTCCTTATGTATAGATTTTAAATAAATAGTTAAGCAACAAATGAGAATTGCCGACACCCAGTGACAACTGTAAGCAATTTGAAATTCCTGGTATTCTAACAGATACAAATCAGCATAATAGATACATTATTCTAATGTACCTAATATTTTAAGAAAGAATACTACCTTATAGTAGTAGTATTAGTAGATGATAATATATCTTAAAATGTATGCATGCAGCTATGCAAACTATTCCATTATTTAGTCACTGCAATGAGACATAAATAAACATAAACCCTTCAGATAGTTCTTGCAGTAATTAGCCATAACAGAAATGACAACAACAACAACAACATCATGGAAAATTTGCAAGTCCATGTATTTTTTAATCAGAAATTTATATTTGCTTTTCATCTCTGAAACAGGGAAATGAAAACAACTTGAAATAATTAAAATAATACTTGGAAAACTGCCATTAAAAGAATTAAGATGGGATTTCTACACTGATGTAATAATCTAATTAGCATACACACACAAAGCAGAAGGAAAATTGTTTTATATACATACATACATACATACATACATATATTCCCCAAGTTCTGTATCTCTCTGAACACTGATATAACTATCTTGTAACTATTCTGTTATTTACAGAAAACGGTAGCGATAACGTTAACCCCTATCAAGATATACCTAAATATCTAGGTGTTTCAGTTATAAGCAGTAAGGCCTGTCTTTGCCAGTCTCTGTTTTTTCCTTTTTTAAATTTGAATACTGTGGTCTTTCTTCTCCCTATATAACCCCTTCAGATACATTACTCAAAAGGGGCTCATCATTTGAGAGGCATATTTGTATATACCCAAAGAGGTATGCAAGCTACCCCCTTTCCAAGAAACTACTGATTGAACTATAACATGGTTTTGCAAGTTACATTTCATCATGAGAGCATAAACGTTTGGGTGGGTGTATATAGAGATACGTGGATACACGCCTTCCTACCATAAAATTATTTTCCAGTGTTCAATAAAATCAAACTGCGTAATTGTCCTATTTAGAGGGAAAAAGTATGTCAGGTTTTTGTCAGACATGTACCCAAAGCACACATAATAAAGTAAAATATCTTGCTTGATTGTAGTTTTCTCCATCCATCATAAATTCTCTATTATATACTAACATGACTACCTGTATGAATTAAACAAAATTCAAATCAGCTGAAAGAAAAGAAACTGAACCTACTACACATACAGTGCTTCAATCTTATTTAAACTCTATTGGCTTTGAACACTGGTATAACCAAAAAACTGAATGTATGTTATATAAACAAAAATATACTATGCATTTATATACTATTAGTATCTGTAATATTAATAATTATTAACACAGGGGGTTAATAGGCTTTTTAGTTAAATGAATGATCCAGACAAAATTACAATGGAAATTACTTTCTCTTGCCTTTAGAGACAGAATCTCAGAAACAGAAACACTTTATGCATGTTTCAGCTGGCTTCCAGTAATAAAACACAGAAAACAATTTTAGAAGGATTTTTCTATAAGTGGTACTTACTATTGTGCACAGTCAATCAGCTGATATTCATTTGATCTCTCAAAACACGCCTTTACTCCTTCATCATCCCAGAGCTTTTTTGCATGTTCAAAGAATTCCTGAAAATTGGAAATTTAATATCTTTGATAAAGTATTTAAATAATTACTCCACTACTTTATAAAACATATAAGCAGGAAGCATCATTAGCACTTTGAGACCCTATGAAAACAATCATGTAGCATCTTTAACACTCAAAAGCAGCCTTCTAGCATATTGCCTCTTAAATGTTACTTTAATTTTTCTTTTCAAAAAAGAAGAAATGATCTCCATTAAAAGTTATATTAGGTATTACAATTATGTTTTAAATAGAAAAATACTGTAAATTGCTGAGATATTACTTTATGAATTCAATGTATAATCTTTAGCATGTAAGGTACATGGTGATGAGCTTGATAGTTTAATCTGGATAAAGACTGTTTTAATTATAGATTTTACGTATCACATTTTCCATTTAAAATGTAACACAAATGGGTCCTAGAATGTAAAATGCTAAGTTAAATGTAACATGTTTTTGGAAAAGGAAGTGGAGAGAAAATAAAAATGGCAGGGAAACATTCCATTCAAAAGAGCGTGCTAGTACATTCTCTGACAAGAATATCAGACATTACTTCCTTGATAAATTATCCAATAGCTTTGACAACAGCCTTTAAAGAAAGCTGCATCTTCCTTTTTATCCCCCCCCCCATCCCATATTCTGGTTCTGTAAAATTAAGATGATTTCTGCCTCTTATTATAAAGTGAAATTTAAATTGATAAACTTTCTCGAAAGTAATTTTCTTTGGCAAATATGGCTAGCAGTTTATTTTTTTTACAAATCTTGTAAAGCTTTGTGTAAAAGTACAGTAATTTGTATAAGACTAAGATAATTTCTCACTGCCTTTTTCCAGCACAGAATTCTGCTACAATTGCTAGTTTATTGTATACTAATCTCAATTACAATGACAGCTGTGTCTTAATGTAAGTTACAATTCTACTTTCAAATAAGATTTAATTGGAATAAACTGCCTCACTGATGATTTGTCCATAAGCATTTACTATCACAGTATTTAATTGAGGAAAACTGAATTGATGAAAATACTGGTTGGTTATATTTCTCTAAGGAAAATCTGAAGTATTTAATCAGTATACAATTTAACCTGTTACACGATGGTGAAGTTATCTTAATTTCATGGAAATTAATTTTTTTATTTATTCAATTTATATAGCTGCCCATCTCAACTGTATGAAGTGACAATTTTAGATCAGTGTTATCTAAAGCCTTTACCACTGCAGTTACATTTCAGGGAATTATTTATTTCTAGTATAGAATAAAAAAAGAAGTTCTAAAGGTTTGCCACATGCCATAGTACATTTGCCCTGAAACTTTAATTTGAATATAACGTTAAGCTTAATTGTCAATTCTTATTTAGCACAGCAATAATAAAAAATGATATGGGCAATTCAAAGGTTAAAAAATGTTTAAAAATACAACATTAAAAAAAATGACACCAGAATAGAGCCAACATCAGAAAAGACTGATACAAAAGATCTAAAGCAAAAAACAACCAAATAGCCTGGGAAATTAAAAAGGTTAGCTTTTAGCTAAACTTCCTAGAATGTTTGCAAGTGAAAATCCACAAATAAAGCACAACAGGAAATCAAACAAGAAGTTATCAGAAACTGATAACTGTAACTATATAATTATTAGTTATATATCAAGCTAAATGGGGGGGGGGGGAAGAGGTACTGCACACAGAACATTCCAAATTATGTACCTGGCCTGTAAGCAGAGCACAGGTTGAAATCTATCCAGGTGGCCTGTAAGTGGAGCACAGCACTACTTTATTCAGGTGGGCCAGCAAACGAATACAAGGATGGGCAATATTTTGGTGTCTGAGGCCATACTTAGCATTTCTGGAGGGCAACAACCTAAGTGAGTGGGATTAAATTGCAAGGTGGGTAGGGATGTATCACACAAATGAATAATCCAGGAGTTTCCTTATTTTCCTGAATTTGTACAGCATCTAAGATCATAAGCCTTCAGTCAGTTTAGCTGTCAGGCAGTATGACTCAAAGAAAATAAAATGCACCCTGTGCTTATAGCAGAAGACTAGCAGCATGGTCTTGAGACTTTTCAAGAAGACATTACCAATTTTAAGGCTTCAAAGCAACTACAAAGGGCTCTTCCCCATAATTTAGCTTGAAGACAGGAAGAGCTCTTTCACCAGCTTATTTTACAAAAACTCTGATCAATAGGACAAGACTGTACACTAGTCCTCAGAAAGAGTAATAACTTATCAGTTTAGAATTCCAGTAAAACCTTGATTTAATGGACCATGGGGGGAAAGGTTATTCATTTAATACAAATGTCTTTTAAATTTGAATTTACATAACAGATGTAATATGTGTAATTACATAATTGACATTTTTATGTCATCTGTGTAAATTTGTCATTTTTATAATTATGCAAATTATGTAAATTGACACCAAAGACCTATAAATGTCAATTATGCAATTATGAAAATGAACTAGACTAAAATCACAAAGACATAAATTATGTAAACTGACTACATTGCTCCAGAAATGTGCTTTGTCTGTTTTTTAGAGGTGTACATCTATAAATCCAAGAACAGAAGAAAAACAAATTCTTGAGGAAAATGGCAAATGTTGAAAATTAAAGGCCTACACATGAAAATAAGAAACATAGCTTATTGAGGGAACAGGTGGCAGTAGTTGCTTTAAAACTGGTTATTAAATGAGAATTGAGTAAAAAGATTAGATAAACAACAAATAATGTCTTGATTCCAGCACAGACTCTAGCAGTTGATGTGAGAGGAAAGGGTGAAAGAAGGAAGCCCAACATGAGATTTCCTAAATGCTGCCTTCAAAAGTCATGGGGTGGATCTGTTCCCAATTTGCCACAAAATTGTCACTTTTAATGTGACCAAAAGGAAAAAAATTATTAAATTCACAGGGATGGATAGAAGCACACGTTGAAAGCACAATGTGAAAAACTGAAAAGATTATGTACAGAAATAGGGTTGTGCAGAGCTTTTAATTCTAGGAAGGACATCAATGTCCAATCTAACAGTTAATCCAGTTAAAAAGGTTCAGAAGAGAAGACGGTCCCAATAAAAGGTAAATGGATGGAACTGATCACACAGGCTTATGGGGGGACAAGGAAACCCTCAATATTTGAAAACCTATATAATATACCCAGTGTGACAAGAAAACTGGCACTAGAATCAAGGAATGTAACTCAGGAGGAACACATACTCAGTAGAAATATTTTCAGAATAAGCATTAACCATTATGGTAGAATATTTCAGATACTAGGAAAATGCATTTTTAAAATTTTTAAAACCCATGAAGATCCATCGGGAAAGATGCATATTTTCTATTTTTTATTCAGAAATGCACATTTCTGAAGTCAACAGGATAACATTTTATGATCACAGTGTTGGGAAGTCATTTAATCCAACTCCTTGCCAGTACAGGAAATCCATTACTAGGCAAGAATTGATAGGTAGTCACCTAACTTCTACTTAAAAACCTCTAATCATTGTTTACTTCCTTTCAAGAAAGTCTGTTCCACTATTGAACAGCTCAAAATGTCAGGAAGTTCTTCCTAGTGTTTAGTCTTAATTTTTTTCCCCTTATAATATGAAGTCACTTGTTCCATCATTTATGAGGCAGCAATTCAAATATTTGGAAATGGCTCTTTAATTCACTCTCATAAGCTTGAAGCTCATGCAGCAAACTACCTCAGATCATGTAGACAATGTCAATCCTTTGCTACTTGTTATAACTCTGGACTAAGCGATTTGATAAATACAGTGGAGGAAATGGAAGCTTGAGTTTTCCTAATATAGACTTTCTGCAGTTCAGGAAAGATATTTTAGTACTGCCACTAAACATTTTCAGTCTGCAAGTAGGATTCTTGAGTAATGAATATAGTCAGGAATTTTGTAAGAAATGGTGTGGTTTATAAATATCTTCAGTACATCTCATTTTTCCTTCTCATAACTAGGAGCAAGTTGATTCAAAATTCAAAATATGCCACATGAAATATAACATTCTTTCAATAAGAAATCACTCTAAAATTCAATTTTGCAGAATTTCTGAATGCACTTTTTCAAATTATTTGAATTTTGATCTGTCTTTCTAATTCTCTATAGGGTTTTTTTTTTAGTAGTCTTTTTTTTTTTGGCTATAGAGTATCATATTCTGCTCTCTGACTGGGAAATCTGCCTAACTTGATTAAGCTAGTATCTCTGTATGGCTGTTTGTACAAGCTTTCTAAAATAAACAGCATTACATGTGATTCACAGGAACCAACTTTTTGTTTTTTTATTTATAAGCGCCATAATCCAAAACAGCTGGATTGTTGTTATTCCTGTAGGAGTATCTCACTTTTGCTCTGGCATTAACAGAAGGGAGATAAATGTAGAAATTTACTTTTAAAATAACAAAACTTATTTTAATAATTATGAAAAAAAATTAAAGGGTAACTATCACTGGACAGCTTTAAGGAAAGTGGAATCATACAAGAATTTTGTGTTGTTTTTTTCTTCAATTTTTGCTCAAGTAGCTGTCCAGCTGTGGAGGATAGCTTGAAATTAAAAAAATTTTTTTTAACTAATCAAGTTTATTCAATTTCTCAAACTTCTGGAGTGTTTAATGTGGAAAGGAATTCAACTACATTATATGACAACATAAACACAATGGAATGAAAATTAAAACAGGACACAACAACTTGCTAGTAATACTAGTATCAACTTAGGCACTGTCATCAGAAAAATACATAATAATTCTAAATATTAATGGTAAATGTGCTTCAGAATTATTTGCTTAATACAAACTTAATCTAAAATAGACATTCGTACACCTATAGCTCAAATAAACAACCTTAGTCCCATGATAATCATGCTTTGTTTAGGAGATTGGATTATTTATTATTGCTCTAACACTTATTGCTCTAACACTTGCATCTCTCCACGCCGTATACATGGATTTGTTCAAAGAAGGAGATTATTTTGCTATGGGGACACAGCAGCTTGTTGTGCTAAACTAGCAACA